GGTCGACGTTGGGACCACGGCGTGGACCATTGAAAATTCAGCACCGCGCGTCCATCCACGTAGTCGGGGTTGAATTTCTCGAGGGTCAGCATGAGTTTCGGAAATCAAGTTGACATTTCCCGCGTCGAGCCGTAATGCGATTAACATGCCCGTAGGTGGAAGATGTTCATCGCGGGAATTACGGGATCGAAGGTACGCTCCAATTGTGAACCTGTGCGTGGTGCGTGGTGCGTGATGCACAGCTTCCTCCATTCATGTCCCTCTAGGTAGATGCTAGATCTTGATTTCGCTCCTCCAACGCAAGCGCAGGGGCTTTCAAGTGCAACCATGATTATGTTGATTTTCTTTCATACGTTCGTCGCCCTTTAATTCTATTTGATTTTCTTATCTGCCATCTCCTATCACCGTGTTGGACCTGTCCGCTGTCCTTTCTGTCAATAAAACTGACTTTATTCAGATACAATTCTGGAGGCTGTGTTTCGGCTGTGACACCGGTTTTCATTGGCTTTTCCAACTCCATGGTTGCTTTTCCATGGCTTCTCGTATTTAAAGTTCACCGAGGCGTGCGCTACGCGTGTACATATGTGGCGGTTGGCTGTCCCACGTGATGCACGGAACAATCATTGTCATTTTCGAGTCACTACGACATCCGCCAAGATTGACCACGACATCTTACTTGGAGCTCCTCAACGTCGTGTCATTGCTAGGCGTCTATTGCGGCAGCGAGGATACCCTAAACTCGGAAATCGAAGCAATGCGCAGCCTCGATCCTAGTCATCTGCAATACAGCTCTTTGTCCGAAGGGGGCTAGTAAATTAGCGCCCCCGTAACACGCCTCTCCTCTGGGTCGTTATTTAAAGGACGTGGACTACAGCTGCTGTTCTTATCCCCGCCATGCATCGTCGGTTCTCCTCCCTGGTCAAGTCCCCCAAAGCCTCTGGCTCCTCAGCGTTTGAATATGATAACGACGACGAGTCGAAAGTCTCTACCATTGTGAAGGACGAGCCCCTCCCGGCCGCGTCGACGAAAATCAAGCGCCTGGACTACTACTACTCACGGTGGTCCAAGGGATGGAAGTACAAGGTATGTTTGCAATCATTTCCGCGCTGAGTATTCGGCTGATATAAATGTAGACCATGAACTCCAGAGTGACGGTGGAGACACTTCCCGTTATTGGTGGCGGCGGCGGCAACGACCCCTGGAAGGAATATAGCTTTGTGTAGGTTTCCAAAATGCATGCGTGCAAGCCCGACTCATCGTCCCGAAGCGTCGTGCGCACGATCCCGCAGCAGGAGAATCGCCAGCCGACATTCAAGATTGTTATCAAGAGCGAGTATCTTCTCAAGGCCTGCCAGGACGTCATACAGACGTGGCCGGGAGTTTCGTGGCACGCTGATCCTTTGGAGGTATACTCGTTTTTGTCCTGGGCCATCTATAGTGCTCACGAGGCCGCAGCTCGAGCCAGAGATCTTCCTCACCTGGCTCCGCGATTTCATCCAGTACCGCGACGCGCTCGTCGCGAGCAAGCGCCGCACCGAGCAGGAGACACATGTCCTCTCCTCCGTGAACCTCCTCCTCTCGTTCCTCTCCGCCGACTACCGCACCACGATCGCGACCATCGAGCGCCTCACCGCCCACAACGAGATCACTTTCGACCTCTTGTACGCCATTCTCGTCCCGCGCACGCTCGTCGTCGCGCGTTGCGCCGTTACCGGCCTTGAACGGCTCTTCCAGCTCCAATTCTTCAACCGCACGACCATCGAAGGCGTCCCCGTGTACCAACTCGGCCTCGAAGGCGTCGACCTCGTCGACCGCCCGATGACACAAACCGTTGTTGTGGGCCGCGTGTCGACGCTCGTGTACATCCCCTTCTTCAAGGGCGCCATGCGCATCGAGAAACTCGACGCGTTTCCTCTCAAGTTCCACCCCGCGGAGGCACAGCTGCGGGAGACGATCGTGCGCCGCGGGCAAAAGTGGGTGGAGCTCATGGGCGTGCACCACATGCAGTACAGCGGGATCGCAGGACTCAAGCACGGGTGCAAGCTCATGCGGCACAATGTGCGTCTCTGCCTCTGGTCGTCCGTCGTCCTCCTTGACAACATACTTACACCGTGTTCTGCAGGTTAAGGGCCGTATCATGGTCGATCGCGGTAAGCGTCTCCCTACCGTCATGTCTCCCGCGATGTACTCACGAATGCCCCGTAGCAACATTCCACCGCCTGAACCCAAACTACTCCTTCCCAACTCCCGTGCCGCCCAAGAACGAGCACGACAACGGGAACGGGCACGGCGGACTCGACCCCAACGGGAACCCTTACGGCAATCCTGGCTACGACATCTATGGGCAACCGCTCCCGCCGCAGTTCATCCCGCCGCAGTCGCTCCCGGGACAAACCTTTGGCGACAGTGCCCTCGTGCGCGCGCAGGCGAATGCGACGACCGAGACCGTGGACCTCTCGCCGGAGGATCTGCTGCTGACACCGACGATCGTGTATGGATTCTCGCTGCCGGATAAAATTTGGCGTACGTCGTTATTTGTTGCTCTCGCTTTCTTCCCCTTTCGTTGTAAAATTATTGGGCGGCCTCTGTTTGTCGTACACGACTGTTCTCTTCCTTTCACTCCATTTTCGCCCCCGGTGCTGCGTGACTGACCCCTTCCTCAGTCGAATTCGACGTCACCAAGGTGTTGCCCGTGCAGTGGAACGAAGACGCGTTTGCGAATCTCGTCCTCCCTGCGGACCGCAAGACGCTGCTGCGTTCGCTCGTCGAGGCGCATCACGAGGAGGCCGGATTCGATGACTTTGTCAAGGGCAAGGGCGCGGGGCTCGTTGTGAATCTGTTTGGTCCGCCCGGAGTCGGTACGTCGCCCCCCTACTCCCGTTACTCCCTCCACGCTAACGCAAGATTCATTTTTGCAGGCAAGACCTTTTCAGCCGAGGCGACGAGCGAACACGTCAAACGTCCCCTGTACGTCATCGGCGGCGGGGACCTTGGCACGCGCGCGGCGGACCTCGACGCGTCACTAGAGCGCGTCTTTGACGTCGCGACGGCGTGGAAGGCCATTGTCCTCATCGACGAGGTAAGAGCGAGATTTCCTTTTGGGGATACCGCCACTGACTGAAATTCACTTCAGGCCGACGTATTCCTCGAGCGCCGCTCGCTGCACGACCTCGAGCGCAACGCCATGGTCGCGGTCTTGTGAGTGACCTCCTCCTCCTTCATGCGATCTGCAGCTCAGTGTGATTGTGACTTGCCAGCTTGCGCCACGTCGAGTACTACCGCGGCATCCTCTTTCTCACCACGAACCGCGTGCAGGCCTTCGACGAGGCCTTCCTCTCGCGCATCCACGTCGCGCTTCACTTTGGCGAGCTCTCCGAGGCGTCGCGCGCGCAGGTCTGGCGCGCGTTCGTCGCGCGCGCGGGCGTGCAGATCGACGACGCGCAGATTGGCCAGCTCGCGAAGCGCGAGGTGAATGGACGCCAGATTAAGAATGCGGTGCGGACGGCGCATTCGCTGGCGCTGGCGCGGAAGGAGAGCGTGGGACTGGGGCACTTTATGGAGACGCTGGATGCGATGGATGAGTTTACGGAGCAGTTTGAGGGGATGAAGGCTGCCAGTGAGGATGTGTGATTGAGGTGTGGGCGGGAGAATAAAACAAATAAAAATGTGTATGTATGTAGAAATGTACTTTTTCGGATTCAATAGATATTCTTTCCATGTTAACGCGGCAAGTACGCAGACTTGACAAGACTCGGATGAAACCGGAGTGGTGTATCATGTTTTTTCCATCTCCGACATCAAAGCAAAAACACAACGCCTCCCTCTTACCACCACCACGGCGGCAAGGCTGCGATGCTCGTTCCGCACAGGACTCTCCGGCCTCTCTCGAGCGGGAAGGTCTGAGAATTATAGTTTCCTCGATGCATCCTGGCTGGATGAGGCTCTAACCAAGCCGAACGAGTTACGACGTACCAGAAATGCGCCGTGCGCGCTGTCCCCAAGATCTTTCACGCGGGAGGGATGCGCTGGCGCGGCTTGGGAATCGTCGCGGGACTGGGGGATGTGCTGCTCGCTGTCCTCCTCCGCGCGCTATCGGTACCAAATTCATCGCGCATTCTTTTGCGTGACCGGGCGGTGGCTGGGACTCCCCCCCTCGCGGCCACACGCCCACCCCGTCACCCGGCGTCGGGAATTAGTTTCCCCCTTTCACTTCCTGTTGTCTACCGCAACCCAACGTCCGGCGTCTTTCAATTTCGAAATCCGGGATGAGAGTGAGCTCCGAGATAGCCTCGTATCCCAAGACCTCAAGAGACGACCGACTTCCAGGGCCTGTGTAAGCGAGCTGAGGTGTTGTATCTCAGTCGTCCTCCGGGCCCTTTCTGTATACGCGGGAGATAATGTCGAAAGGTCGCGGGCACGACGAGGAGCGTGGCGGATTTAGGACGGCGCGGCGAGCATATCTTCCTTAAGTGCGATTTACGGCGTATGGCACACTCCCGGGAGCAAGCCGTGCCACTCGACTCAGACTACTCTGCGCCCGTGGTGGCTCTCTTGGTTAATTTATCCACCCACCCGATTTCTTCGTGAGATTATTTGTCGCATTGCTTCGGCATGTGAACCTTTCTTGAATGACATTTTTTGTTTCTTCGGAGCGATGTTCCCTTTTGCGCGAGAAATTCACAATGGTATTACCTCGATCGAGTACATACGTCCATCCAATCTCTATACGGATAATTTAGGCTGGTGCAGATGCAGCCGTTTGGGTCGACCCACAACGATGCGTCCTTGATTCCTGAGTACACATTATCGTTCGTCGCCCCGTACCTCCCGTTACGTGGTATTTGATTCGGATTGTCGCGCCCACCAGTGAATGCAAAGTTGAGTTGCTACAGATTCAGACTTTTAAAGCAACGCAGACAAAAAGCAAAAGAGAAGAAAAACGTTCTGAGTTGTCAATACTTCGAGTCTATTCAATTCCACTCCAAATCCAATGTTTATATTCGGATATGGTGCATAGGATAGCACGGGCTCATACTACATTCTCCCACGGTTGGGATGAGAGCCAGATCGAGGTTCGATTCCTCGTGTCCGTCGGTTTTTTGGTCAATGAGAGAAGTGGTGAAAGTTAGTCCGGCGCATGACGGCAGATACCAGTGGTCAAATATATGCGATGCGAGTTGAGGAAATCGATTGTGTAGAGAAATACTGCACTACAGCTCACTGGACCGCGATGCGATAATGCCATCGCTCGAGTCTCCCGGGTGATTCTGTTGAACCAAAAAAACGAACGAGATCGCCAAACAGGGCAGCGCCAGTGCGACCCCGTAGCTAAAGCTCCACACACCGTCGCCGGTGATGTAGTACTGTCCGCAGAAAGGTCAGAACACATCAGACCAAAAAAGCTCATCGAACAACGCATAGAGAGAAGACCCACCGAAAGATACTCGCACAGCGAAACCCACGCCGCCAGCGACCCAAACAACGCACTCAGTTCGTCCCCTCGCGCGAGGAAGGTAAAGTGCGATGCTGCGAGGGAGTACAACGCTGGAAGCGCCGCTGCACTGAGTGGGTATAGGACTGGGGGGATGAGTATCACGGCCGGGACGGCGAGCACCACGACCAGCCAGAGCCATGAGTACCAGAGTATCATAATCACGAATACGCACAGCGCGGCGAGGAAGAGGGAGTGCCGCGCCGCCAGTTTGGCGAAGATGAGGCCGGATTCAACGTCATTCCCGTGTGTGCGTTGAAAGAATGAGGCAGCGGCTGGGGGCACCGAGCGTTCAGATGAGTTGTTATTGGAGAGAAGATGCGCTCGTAAACGACTTGCCTGGAAGAATGCAAAGCCAAGTTAGGATGCTCATAATGCTTGGAAGCCAGGGGAGGAGCTCTATCTGGCGTAGTATTCATTGGTGAGTCAGGATGAGATAGCTTGTCAGAGAGCTGATTTGCGTACCGGGACTGGCAAGAATGTTAGACTCGGATCAGATAGAAATATTTCCATCTTCGTTCCGAATGCCTACAAAATCATGACATTTTCAGATCTGGGGTCGGGATCCTGAATCATATACGGACCGACGCCAATGCGTACGTAGAAATCAAAAATACCAAGTAAACCAGCTGGCTGCGCCCCGAGGCCCGGCGAAGGAATACGGTCGCCGGGGATGCAATATCAACCAAAGCGGACTTCCACGTACGCGACGGACATGAGGGCGGAGGTACCCGAGATTCGGGAAGAAGGACGTAAATATACGCCATGTTGTAGCAAGCAAGGAAAACGGAGGCCCCAAAGACTGCGTTGCTGTGCGCCGAATGGGCAACTACGCCCAACTAAAATTAATTAATTGGGATCATCCAAATGACACAACGTGCAGAAAGGCACTCACCATGGCACCGAGTCGGAAAGAAATAAAGAATGTGGCTTGTAATACGCAGAAGTTGACCGTTCTGTTTCCGAAATTAGTGGGTGGGGTGAACGATGAAGCCGAAATGAAGTGAAACCTCGATACTGAATCGGCGGATATGTCAGACACGTAGCTGCTGAATAGTCAGAGCCGAAGTCACGAGTACCAACTGTGGACAAGGGCGTACGCATGATTAACGCCGCTAAACGTGGCGAACCCACCGAGAAGCCCCTCGATAACAAGCGCCACCCAAACACCGCTTTCCTGGAACTCACTCTGGGCTACGGTCAATAAAATAAAGTCTCTGGGCATAGAGATTAACTAATTGAAACTGAAATGAAAGCCACCCACCGGAATAAAGCACCCAAGACGGAAATCAACAAGATGGATTTTCGGCCGCGCCGGTCACCCATTGCACTCCACCAGCCGAGAGTGATGAAACTGATCAGAATCGACACCGCCATTGCGACTGAAGGACGTGAGTTGTGTACACAATCGAGTCAACGTGGACAATACATACACATATCCACTCTGAGCACAAGCCACGGGATTTGAAGCCAGATATCGAACCGTCTTGAAGTGGAGTCTGAACGCTCGATTAGTGTGAGTGGAAGGAAAGAATGGTCGCGAAATACGAGGTGGCCATCGATTGTAATAATCGTATCGAGCGGACATGGACATTCCGCGCTATGTACGAGCAATATTAATTGAAGGAATGTGTGAAATGGTGTACTCACACAAACCGACGCCAGGATCACTGCAGGCAGCAATTTCCCTAATCTGTAAGCGGTTGGGCCTTCAAACGCGATTTGAGGATCCGATGTGTACGACGTACGATTTCTTTTCGTTTCTGGTCGTCAAATTTCCCGCAGTCTGGACTAAGGGCTCCCTAGGCTTTCGGTGCCCACATGAGACGAAGACATGGGGGAACACACGCCAATAGTTGTGCAATTGATAAGGGACTGGATGCTTGACCGATGGATGTGGTGTTGTCCAAGGGCTCAGCCTTGCCGCACTGATTATGCAACACCCTTCCCGCACAGGTATCCACCGCAGTCGCGACCATCTGTCAGCTGTCAGATCTGTTTTGGGAGTTTGTATTCTCCGATCGCGGGTGTTGCTGTGAAGAATGCGGATCCTCTTGGCGGGCGCAGGGAATGCGGTGAGAGACCAGACGTAGTTGATATTTCATGATTTATAGAGGTATGCCGCAGGGCCACCCGGGATCAAGTCACTGGCGTTCTTGAATCACAGGCGGAGGGGATCCAGGATGCGTGTCCCTATCACCTAACCTCGCGTTCAACATCCTTTAGCGTTCAAGGTCTTTGGTAATCCAACTTGCCGCCGCGAGAGACTGCAGGGAACGGCAGCGGGTCGGCATTGTGGCTACGTAATAACGAACGGTCTGACATTGTTCGAATGAAATTTTTAGTAGCTTCGACGCAGCGGTTTTTTTTATTTTTATTTTATCCATGTTTTATATCCTTTGTGTCTAAGACATATGGTAGATATAAATCTATCTTGTAATCGTCCGCGTTCTATATAATCTATTGTGTCTAAATCATCGTGCCGTCTCGAAACTTTGTGCACCGCGACGGGGCGGCGTACTAAGCGGAAATTCCGCTGCCTGGCCGTGGCTAGTAATGGTATGTGACTCGTCGTCGTCTAGAGTCGTGAGCAGGAAGTGGTGTGGCGTGATATGGAGGGTTTTTGGGAGGGTCGCGATTATGAACGGCTGTTTATGTTTCACTGGTCTGGGGGGGTTCCACCGGCGCGACGCAGTGGTTGGGTTATGGCCCGGGCGTGACGAGATTTCATTGTCGCGGCCCGGAGTTGCCGGTCGGCTTTCTGAGTCCGTCGGCCGACCGATTCATCCAAGTGTCTTGTCAGGATTAGACCTGGTCTTCAATATGGTTGTTAAATTGGAAATCCCTCGGTCATGAGCTCGATGACGAAGCCGTAGATGGTCAGATCGACTTCATCTTGCAAGAAAAATTGAAGATCACGTATTTACCGGCCAGGCTTGCAATTCTGTAGCGTCAATTCACGGTCAGCATGGATATGTTCGACGTCTAGGCACGCGGTGCCTCATGCTGTCACCCAGAATGTTCGGGTTCTCGACTCATTTTGCAACGCGTGGTGGAAGTATTTTTGTGGACTTCTCACTCACAACCTTGGTTCAAGCGTGATCTTCGTTGATGGCCGTTTAGCCGCTTACTCTCATTCTGTCGAGTCATGGTGCATGAGACCTCCGAGTAGGGAATCGCACCGTACGTATGCCTTACGGTACGTACGTACGGTGGGCCGCCCTTGTGATACGGTCCATATCTAGCCGTATTTTGGCAAACTTGCTCAAACTTTGCCCCGAGGGGCCGGATCGTTTCGGGCTCGCTTCTACGGATTTCCTGTGAGTGATTTCCATACATATCAACCCTGCCGCAACATGCCATCTGATATTTTGTCCCTCCGAAAGCGGCCGTACACGTACCGTCCTGTATGCATACGTGATCCGTGACGTACCGTCGGGCGCCGGATGCCCTTCGGATGGTATACGGATCTCCATCCGTCCTGACGTACCGTAGGGGAGCCCACGACACATCGGACGAACAAAATTTAGGCCTCCAAGGACGTCATTCCGCACGGACTATCGGACCGCGGCCTTGGCATTGACCTTTCAAACCCGATGTTGAATGTTGGGCGAACATCTCTTGAACATCTCCATGCTGCGATTCGTTTCACTTTGAATCAAGGCAGGAGGCAGCATTTATCCTAGGTAGGGTAAATGCAAACGGAGCCAACCTATGAATTCACCGACGCCAAGCCCGAACGGGATTCCCTCATGTCAAACACCCTGTTTTTTTCACCGTGCCCTCCGTGGCAGATGCCGTGACAGATTTGCGGGGATCATTTGAATCACAACCATCATCAGTCTAGCTCCTCATCTACATCCACGACGATGACCCTGCCCCAAGAGCTCGTCGACGCAATTCTGGAAGACGTGGTGGGTCCGGGGGCCCATGCGGCCCTCAAGGCATGTTCTATGGTTGCCCGCAGCTTCGTAATGCCTTGCCAACGCCGGCTGTTTCGCTTCCTCACTTTGACGTCGAAAACAGTCGGCATCGTCTCCGCTAGGTTCAGCGACCGTCCATATCTGGCCTCTTATGTTCGGGACTTGCATGTCGATATGCATCTCGACACCAAGCTCCACCAAAAGCCATTGGTGACGACGTTCCGACTTCTCAATAAAGTGCGACGAATCGCGGTTTCGTCATACAGCTGGCAAACCTGGGCCTGGGATTCGTTCCCCAACGATTTCTGCGAAGCATTTGTCTCGCTGCTGACGCTACCGTCCCTTCGCTGTCTCGCATTGACTCGTTGCCGCGGAGTGCCCTTTGCGCTCATCCGGCATGCACTCACATCCTATAAGGAAGTGGGTCTGCTGGTGGCGGGTATTGACGTGGACCAAAAGATTGAGCTCTTTCCCGCCCCTCCGAGCGACGCAGGAAAACCTCTCGCGCGTCTCCTCCTCAACTACGCCCCTGGGCGGGACGCCGCGTTTCATTCTCTTATGGTCAGAGATGACTCAACGGAGCCCTTCACCTCACCGCGTCACTTGGAACTGGCTATCCCAATCCAAGGCTCCCTCGGCGGCCTGGAAATGATAGCCCTCAAATATTCGGGCTCCCTTC